ACATGTATTTATATGCCATACTTATGTATATACTGTATATAGTACTGTATTTAACATATTGCGTTTGCATGTTCTGTTAAAAAAAACCAAGAGGATTGTTAATCCATCAAACTGTAGAACATTAATGAGATAGGATCAGTGATCCTTCATTGTAGTAGGTCATCTTGGGTAATGCTACTTCAAACTGCCTCCTTCAGTCAAGGCTACAGATATGCTACTGCTACTAGCCATTAATCAGATTAATTTATCAAACTTTTAAATTCTGAAACAATTTTTATTTTCTTACATTATTTACATTTAAAGCATGTTCTTTGAAGTTCTTGTGTATTTCCTAATAATGTTTCATTCTGTTATTTATTATTATTGTTAAAATTTATATATTTATTATAAATGTTATTATGATGATGATCATCGTTATTTTATATTCGTTATTATTGTTACCATAATCATCATAATACTCATCATCTAGCTTTCTATTGATATAGAGATGGTGATGATAATGATGATGATAATGATGGTGATAATGATGGTGATAATAATGTAAATAATTGTGATGATACATGTTATTGATATACTGTTGGTAGTTGTAGGGATGAGGATAATTATTTTGATATAGTGATGATGATAATGAAATAATATTGAAACAGTGATGATAATGATGATGACGACAGTGATGTTGGTAATTAAGCAGTGTTGATAATCATTTTGTTATGGTGATTATCAGGATAATTATTTTTGTATAATTTAGCGATGATGATGATATGTTGATGATGATTTTGTTCAACAATACTGATGATAATGTTAATGCAGTTGTATTTATAGTGGTTATTAGAATTACGTTCCTGAACAGTTACTTTTTAATGTAAAGGGTCCTATATTCTAAAAACACATCCATCAAAAAAACAATTATTTTTAAAAATAATACAATATAAGTCATAAGGTGTAGCCATTTCCTTTTTTCCCTATTAATAAAGAATAATAAAGACAATAAATAATCTAAAATGACCTAATGTTTTAGCGAAACTTATTTACTATTCAATATTTCAGTTAAAAATGGAGTCTCTTTATATTATGGATTGACAAAAAAAGATTGAAAATATTCTTTATGGATCATGGATATTATACGTAATGATAATGATAATGAAGATTAATAGAAACTTATAAATATACGTAATGATAATGATAATGATTGTAGAAGCGGTTTGGCACAGCGTGACAGGTTTGGTTTCCCAACCTCGAGGTCGGGGTTTCAATCCCTCGCTGTGCATTTCGCTTGTGTCCTTGAGCAAAGCACTTTATCTGCATTGCTTCTCTCCACCCAGGAGTATAAATGGGTACCTGGTGGGGTTGCTTGCTCCTGGTGGGGTTGCTTGCGCTTTTTTCCCTGTTCATTGGATGCAGAATAAGTCATACACATCATGCAACCTCCTCCACTCCCTGGAGAGTATTCCTAATTAAGCATGTAATCAATACGACTAATTTCATTCACCTCCTACTAGGGTGAAGAGAGGCAAGTGCAGATAAAAAGTGTCTTGCCCAAGAGCACAAGCAGTTTGACAAACATAAGTCTCAAACCCCTGACCTTCCCATTGAAAGTCCAACGCCTTACACACTGCGACACACACTTTCATCCAACTACCAAATCAACAAATCTTCATAATTGCTATTCATTGCAAGTAAAATAAAAAAAAGAATACATATTGAAACTTTCATTTTTTGTCAAATATACTTTTTATGTATTCATAAGCCATATAATTATTTAGGTTGTGGGAGTGAAGATAGTTAATTTAATGGGGAGGTGTAGTGTGGGAAGAGGTGGCATGGGAAATAAGTTAGAGGTGGCTTTTAGTTAATCGTAATTTAATGATCTTGAATTTATTAGTTATTATGCTTTGCATATTTGTAAAGGGTTTGTAGTTAAAGGTTCCTTTATTGAAGTGCTGACATTTTGCTGACTACTTTGCTGAGCCAGTTTGCCTGTAATCTTAGTTAAAAATAATTACATATATCCACAGAATTTTGTAAGATTGTTTTTAGAAATTATTAATTTGGAATATATGTGCAGTTTATATGTAAGAAAATTAAAGCTGTTTCAGGGCAAAACATCACTCCTATACAATTCAAGCTGCTACTTGACAAATAAGAAAGATGCAATGGCTGAGCTATAATAGTACTTTGCAATCTAGTTTTAACACAATTAAGGGTGATGATAACTGCAGGTTATTGCATGAGAGAATCAAGAGTCGAGAAAGGTTGTGAGGAAGAAGCAAAAACTGCATGAGAAGTTGAAATACTTGTGAGAGGTTGTGATAAAGAGAGTGCCCAAAGAGGGTGAGAGATTGCAGCCATTAAGGATTTGAAGAAGGAGGAAATTAGCAATGAGATGTGTAGGGAATGATAAAAAAGAACAGTGAGAAACTACAAGGAGTTGTGATAATGTGTGAGGAAAAAAGACCAGCTCAAAGCACAGCCAATGTGTCTGAAGTACTATAAGATGAATTTATTTAATTGGGTAACAAAATTAATCAGAAAACACAACCGCCATTTTGTCTTGCTATGCCGAATTAATCGAACATATTACCAAAAGGAAGAGAAATTTGCTAGTAATTGTAATAAGTAGGCAAATGACCATGTTGGTCTATTTAATAGTTCACTTCATATTCATTAACGATCTAGATCAGCAGTATGTGGTTTTGTGAAATGGAATAATAGCAAAGCATGTGTGGAGAAACTGGGATCAGCAGTGCATGGTTTGGTGAACAGGAATTAGCAATGTTTGGTAAACTGGAATCAGAAACCGCAATCTCCAATGTGTGACAAAACTAATCAAGAATCTTTTATTTAGCAAAGTAGTCGTGTGTGGATTGGTATAACCTATTAGCTATGGCAGAACAGCCCACTGAACTTACCCATTAAAATTACTCAGGAAAATTGAGAATATGTAATACTCTAAACACAGCCCTTCAAATCATGTTGTTATTCTAATGATGGACATTATAATTTGCTTTGATTGGTATACACATGATGTATTACTGCAGGGATCGCAGTGGTACAGTACCTTTTTAAATGATTTAAATGACAGGCTCTGGTAATACATACTCATTAGAAGATTAAACTTTAATAGTGACTTGTTTTTGTCTTTTATTTATTAACTGATCTATCAGATCTGCTCTGTCCATTATTATTATTTCTTTTGGTAGCAAAAACATTGAAAACATTGATCTGATAATGGGATTATATTTTTTCATTAAAAAAATAGTTTGATAACATTTTTTAGTGCTATGGTATTTTATATACTTTTTATTCTGCCTAATTTTCACCCTGATCAGAAGTAGGACTTTGCATACGGCCTATTTGACCACATTAAAAATTTGGTTGCTAGTACCATAATGAGAAAGCATTGACGTTTTTACTTTATTATTATTTTTTTTTTTTTTTTTTTTTTTTTTTTTTTTTTTTTTTTTTTTTTTTTTTTTTTGTAAATATTTTTCAGTGTTTTCCAGTATTTTGACTTCGCATTGATTTTTTAAAACAAAAGACATTATGGAATACCGGTACAAACTTGGTATTGGAACATACAACAATTTTAGTATAGCATACATAGCATAGCATACAACAGTATATTGAAACCTCTGTTCTATTTTTGGTATTTTTTAGTATTGGACTGAATTAATAAAGCAGCAGCAGTTACTTGGTATGAACTCGTTCACAAGATGTGGCAATCTACCTTTACAATCAATACACCTGGACTATAGAATCTGCTCCAAGTTCACATCATGACCACCAAGTTACCACCCACATTCCTTTCTCTTGCCATCTTCCAGCTCTGGTTAACTTGCTGATGCAAAATTCATGAAGGATTTTCTTACGTGAAGTGTTCCTATAAAGACACAGTAGATGAAGTGTTACTTTGAAGACACTGCAGATGAAGTGTTACTTTGAAAACACTGCAGATGAAGTTTTACTTTGAAAACACTGCAGATAAAGTGTTATTATGGAGACACTGTATGTAGTGACTTTACAAACACTACAGATGAAGTGTCAAGCCAGGTCATCACTCTGATGTACGCCAGTTGTACGACCACCGCACGACGATCGAGTCCAACTCCGTTCCTTGTGAGCACTAGGTGAAACGGTGGCAGTCTGAACAGACGTTAAAAATGATCCATTATGTGTGCATCATCGCATTGCGTTCATAGAATCGCATCGGCTGACGATCGTCAAATGCAGTAAGTGGCCAGCCTTAGGAAAACGCTGCTGATAAGTATTACTATTAAGACATAATGGGGATCGATGCTTCTAATACTATTATGCAGATAAAATGTTACTTTATAAACACTACAAATGAATTGTTACTCTGGATGCACTGCAGATGATGCGTTTCTATAGAGGCCTGCAGATAGTGTTATTATGGATACAGCCAGATGAAATGTTAATAATATTATGCCAGTTAAGATCATGCAATATAATTTAAATTTAATGTCATGGTTTATGAATTAGACTTGATTTGTAGACTACAGTATGTAACTATAATTTATATTTATTATATTTTTTAACAAACTTAATAGTATTTCTAAATCAGCGATATATTGACATATTTTGTATATTTTATATTGAGACTCATATGTATGCGTCACATATTGTTCAGTAATAGTTATATTGATTTATTTAATTCAACAGTAATGGACGCTGAATTCAGGATGTGGGTCCATTAAGTTTCAAAAAAAGGTGCCGTTTTTTTACCACTAGTGTCGAAACGGCAGCGCCATATGACCCAAGCAGTGCCCCTTGTTTAGTTACTGGACCGGTAAATATATTAATCCTATTCCGCTCAGCCCCTTGGAAGGAACATGCATTTTTGTATGGTAGAATGCATTAGAGAGAAAAGCTTATTTTCGACAACAGTAACATTTTCCTCTGTAAGTTTATGTGACTCACAAAAGAATCTGTTCTATACAAACTTTTTGTACTAATTGCAAGGTTCTTGTCTCAGAAATATTTATTAGTGGTATCTTTAATAAGTTTAAAGGAAGTGTAAAGTGTTTATGGTGATGTTCAACTCACTGATTCCCAGTTTGTGTTTTTTTTTTCAACTTTAGCAATAATTGTTTATTCAAAGAAACAAACTAGTAATTATTAGGCATTAATTACATATTCTCAATACCAGGTTACAAGCTTCAAAAGAACTAGTTTCCACTTTACAATACCAAGCATCTAATTAACCGGCAGTTTGTACACCACACTCTTCATGTTTCAACTTGCATTCCATCAATC